GCAGGCTGAGAAGTTCTTCGATGTCATTGCTATTGAGTTCTGGTGGCTGATTTTCTTTTTGTGGTGTGTCATTCCCCTGAGGGCTTGCTTATTTGTATTTTTCCTTCTCCCTGTTGTTTGTTTTCTAATTTGTTCTATGCATTTGTTCTGTGCCACTGGTACTGGCAGGCATCTCTTTGGGGTACTCCTTCTGGCATGTTGGGATCTGATGCCCAGACCAACTCCAGCACTGTTACACCAAAACTCCACAAGGGTAGTGATGCTGTGGATATGTTGATGGGCACTGTCCCTAAAGATCCCCTCCTTCTGTATTTACTCAATTCCAGAAGGGAATTGTGGGGCCCCTGGCTTTGTTTGCAGAGCCCCCCACCTCTCAGTTTCTGAAGGGGGTCATGGGGTCCCTGGCTTCCAACAATGGCTCAGGGGCTGCACTCTTCCAGGGACCGCAGTTCACCTTGATGGTGGATCCTGCCCTGGCTCTACTCAGTCCCAAAATATGGGTGCAGGGCCTGCCACAGCCTTGGTTGGCGAGCGCACTATCCTGCTCACCTTTGTTTGCAGAGTGTGCCCTTTCCTAGTTCTACAGGGGGATTGGGAGGTGCCTGGTTTCCAACCGAAATTTTGAACTTTCAAGGAAAAATTACAATTTTGGAAAATTTGCACGTCCATCATATGCTCGGCAACTTTCTAATACTTAAAGACTTTTCTGAGGAGAGCGGAAATGATATTAATGAGATTTTTTTGACAATGCATGTATAATGAATTGTGTCAACATTTGAAAGATCTACATAACTGACTGAAGCCAATATTCAAGTACAATGTAGACTAGTAGGTTTTAATGGTAACAAAGTATGGAAAGTTGATTGATACCGTCGATGTGATTTTAAAATCTACATTAAAGTATTTTTTTAAAAACTACCATTTGTTGAAGATTGATGCAGTATTAAAGACTATTCAGAATTATCTGAAAGGGCTATTAAAATACTCCTCATAATCTGAACAGACATTTCTCCAAAGAAGATACACAGATGGTTGACAGGTACATGAAAAGATGTTCCTCATCTTTTATTACTAGCTCAAAACAACAATGAGCTATCACCTTGTAACAGGGTAATCCCCAGGGAAAGGAGAGGTTCCAGGTTCCCTGCCCCACCCAAGGAAGGGTGGAGCTAGGTAGAGAGAAGCTAGAAAAGACAGGGAGAAGGAAGGGAGGAGATTGAGAAGGCACCTGGAGTAGAGAGGCATGTCAAGAAGCTGGGCTTACTTCTCAGCCTTGTACCAGAAACTAGGGGAACATGGAAGGAGACACTTGAAAGATATAGAGATGTGGGTGAGAGACCCATGGGGAAGCTGACAATGGCAGCCTTTATCTTGACTTGGATTTTCATTTTGCTCTTTTCCTTTGAATCATGCCTGGCCCCTTCTGCCCCTTTCCTATGGGTCCCCACCAGAAAGTACTTCAGACTTGTGGTAAGCTTTTGGGCCTCAGCTGCCCTGTTGCTTAGGGCCAACCCTGTTTGGCTGGGCATTTGCCCATGAAGGGATGGGTAATTTGGGGTGTTTAATTGGAACCTATACTCTTTCTCATCTCTTCTCTTTATTGCACACTAATTGTATTAAAGTTCCTTTATATTTAAGGCCTAATGCACCAGAGTATGTTTGTCATGATGTGGCACATGGCAGAACCCATTTAGAGCAGGTGGGTTTGGGAGTCCGGGGTTCCCCTCACCCTAACAGATAACAACACCACACCTGGTGAGAATGGCTATTATGCAAAAAACAAGAAACAAGTGTTGGAGAGGATGTGGAGAACAGGGAACCTGATACACTGTTGCTAAGAATGTAAATTTGTGGAGCCCTTGTGGAAAACAGTATGAGATTCCTCAAAAAATTAAACACAGAAATTCCATATGAATCAGTTATCCCACTTCTGGGTATCTACCTGAAAATTACGCAAATACTAATTCAAGGAAACGTGCACCTCCAAGTTTATTGCAGCATTATTTACTGATGAATGAATATGTGGTATTATTTATTCATTATAAATAATGGAGTACTATTCAGCTATTAAAAAGATGAAATACTGCCATTTGCACCAACATGGATGGACCTAGAAGATATTACTTAATGAAATAAGCCAGGTAAAGAAAGACAAACACCATAAAATTTCACCCACATGTGGTAAATAGAGAAAATAAACAGATAAAATAAATAAACCAAAAATAAACTTTTAGACTATAAGGCCATTTCATGGTTGCCAGAAGGGAAAAGGTAAATCAAGACAAAGGGGACAACTGTATGGTGAAAGACAAAATTGGACTTTTAGCGGTAAACTTAATGTAGTATATACACATATTGACTTTCAATGATGCACACCTGGAACTTACAAAACAGTGTTATGTTCCTTTAATAATTTTTTAAATATTCCTCATTGTTCTAATTACAGATCTGTGTGCTTTGCTTCAGCCAAAACATATAGTTCAAACAAAACTACTCTAAAGAAATTAGAGGAGTGGTACTTAGGAATGTTCTTAGTGAACTGCTTGTAACAACAAACCATTGGGGAAACCCAGTAGTCTACCAACAAGGAAATGGGTAAATAAACCATTTTATAGACATACTATGGGATATTATGTCATTTTTTAAAATGGTGTAAATCTAGATGTAGTGAAATAAAAGTTCCTAAAACATTGAATGAAAAAACTTGTAGGATATGTATAGTATGGTAGAATTTTTTGTAGAAATAAAAACACAACACAATGTATTTTCAAAGAAAATAAAGTTACCAGAATACATACCAATTGCTAACAGCTAGTACCTTTGCGAACAGCAAAAGAGGACATAGATTGTGGGTAATGGCCACAGTGTGGCCCCATCTATGTGTATTTTTTTTTTAACTAGGAGAATGTACTAGTATACTTTAAATAATTAGGAAAAAGGGGATAAAGCAAGGAGGGCAAATCCACCAACATTGAGGGAAGAAAGGGGACTCCCCCTGAGTCCAAGCTGAAAGGACCAATGCATTTGCAGCAGTGGTTCTGAAGCTGATGAGTCTAGTAAGGAGCCACAAGGGGTAAAATCAGGTGATGGAAGGGGTGGTTAGCTTAAATGATGGTGGCCACCTAGATGTCATCTGGTCAGGTACCTCCTGCTCTGGACCCAGAACCTAATACAAAGACCTTCAGCGCCGCAGAGCACAGCCATCATGAACCTCGCCAGAAGCCTGCTAACTCTTGCCCCATTCAGGGTCCAGACCCGTGACCTCAACGGCGAGTTGAGGTGCTCCAAGTTGGGTGGTAAGAGACGACAGGCTAAGGCAAGACCTCCCTAAGCACCAGAAGGGAGACTACAGCTAGAGTGGCCTTCACACAACCGGTGACACCCTTAGACACTAGAAGCGTGACGGGGGTAGAGGGTAGCTAGGTTGCGGAAGGGGCACAGTTACCTAATTGCTTGCTAGAGCTACGAGGGAACCTGCCGCCTCTTCTAAGAGGGGAAAGGGGAGAGGGGGGACTCACTTTCGAAAGCAGCACCACAGCTTTCCCAGTGGTCTTCTACTCCAACCAGCAGGTCTCCCTATGGCCCATCCTTCAGATTGAGGCCAATCAGAAGCTTTGTGCTTCTCACTGCGTAGGTCCAACTAAATGCTTGTTTCTGACAGGCACGTGTACTGCCAATCAAAAGGGCCGAGACCTGATGGCTCATCCTCCTGTTTCACGCTCGATCTAGAGTCTCTGCCTGGTATATACGGTTTGGAGCTGGGAGAAATAACCAAAACGGAGCTCTACGTTGGAGAGGGGGTGGCCCAAGAGGCAAATCAGTTATTTCCCCTAGTCTCTAAGGAAGTCGGCCACACGGTCAAATGAATCTGTAGTTGAGTTGTCAGTGTTGTTCTGGGCTTAGCCTCAAGTAGTACCTAACTCAGAAAAGTATTGGTCATGAGAGTCTCAGATGTTGCCTTGCCACCGGACTAAATGTTTCCTTTCCCCTTAAATCAGGTGGGAAGAAACCTAGAATAACATTCAGAGTCTCAAGAGCATTAGTTTGTCCACAATGAGGAGAGGTAGAATGCTCAATTAGCAGCGATAAATACTGCTGGAATGACTAAAATTAAATGTGCGGGGGGAGAGGGCGATTTTAAAACTTGATAGTGGTATTATAACTAAATGTACCACAAAATGCAAATTAGAACTAAGAAATACCATCTTCATCAAAATGTCTGATTATCGATTGTTCAGTATTTTGCCAAAGAAACCTTTTTGTGTGGAGGGCCTCCCTGGTGGCACAAGGGGTTAAGCACCACACTCAAAGCAATCCGCAGCCTCTGCAGCATGGGTTCGATCCCCGGCTGGCCAAAGAGAAACCCACATGGCGAAGCAGACCTCTCCTGACTCCCCTGCTGCTCCCCTCAGCAGTGTATTTCAGTCAGCCTGCCTGTTCTGTTCCCCATTCTGTCTCTGGTGAGTCCTCTCACCCCCGCTCCCTCCCTACCCTACCGCCCCCCATCCCCACCAGCATCTCTGGCCTGTGCCCCAGCTCTTGTATACATAAATAAATCAATCTTTAAAAAAAAAGAAATCTTTTTGTGTGGTAACAGGAACTTTACTTCTCACTTCCTATAAACAGAAACTTAAACTGACTCTTAAAGGCAACTTGGTAGTACCTACCAAAACGTAAAATGCGGGCCTCCCCGGTGGCGCAGCGGTTGAGTGCTGGGTTGCGAAGCTGCCCGCAGCCTCTGCTGCGCCAGTTCGATCCCCGGCTGCTCCCCTGACCGGCGGAGGGTCCCTCATGGCGTGCAGACCTCTCCTGTCTCACCCGCTGCTCCCCTCAGCAGTGTATTTCAGTCCTTCTGCCTGTTCTGCTCCCTGCTCTGACTCTGGTGAATTCTCTCACCCTCCCGTGCTTCTGACTGTACCCAGTGCTTGTATAAATAAATAAATAAATAAATAAATAAATAAATAAATACTTTAAAAAAAAAAAAAAGTAAAATGCCCACATCCTTTGACCCAGCAATTTTTCTCAAAATCCATCCTACAGAAATAAATACACAAGCAAGGTTGTATGTAGCATTACCTGTAATAGTGAATGATTGGAGACAAACTTCCATTGATGAGTGAATAATTAAATCATGACATGGTACCATGAAATGTTATGCCTTTTTTTTTTTTTTTGGTATTGTTCCATGAGTTCTCTCTTTTCCAGCCATTGGACTAAGCACTTTACTGTATGATCTCATTTAATTCTCACAGCAAACTTGTGATGTAAATACCAATATCGTGCCCATTTTATATATATGGAAACTGAGGCTCAGAGAAATTAAGTAGTTCACCAAAAATCACTCAGCTAGTTAGTGCTTAAGCTGCACAATTAGTTGCTCAATGTAATAGCATGGTAAGTTGTACCTTTGGTAATTAGAAAGTTTTGGTGATGACTTCAGAGAGCCCAACTATCATTGGGTAGACTGGATTATTGTGGGGTTCTATTAGGTCCTCGCCATTTGGTGGTTCCTTAAACACATAGATCTCAGCTCTGTAGATGAAGGACTTGCACCTCTGCAACCACAACTCTGCAGAGTCAAACTCAGAGAGCAAGAGCTGCTGAATGAAGAAATGTTTATTGAGCTGCTATAGTACTGTAACACGAAGGTATGCCACTGTTTTAAAAAATTTCCATGTGCTAATGTGACAAAGTCCACAATACATTGCAACATGAAAAAATTAAGTTGCAAAATAGTACATTTAATATCCCATTTTGTTTAAAAAAAACTACATAAAAGTGTATGGCTATTCATACATATATATGTAAATGAATATACATTTACATATATTTGTGCATAAGCAAAATGTCTAGGAAGACATACCAAATTAGATTACTCTTAGAGAATGGAAGTGGAGAGGGAGATGTAGCGAAATATTTTTTTATACATTAACATTTTGTTTGCATATTGTCAGTTAGCATTAGATTCTTTTAAATTTTGTCACCATACTAAAACATTTTAACAAAATAGGTACTTTTAAAATCAGAATAATCGAAGTATAATTTATATATTTTAAATACAAGTAATTCCATATAGGGATGAAGCGACTATTTCATTAAAAAAATTTCAGCCAGAAGACCAAGGATAAAACCAGGGCAACTGTAAATCAAATCACCATTGAGTTTCAATTGGGTACTCATGACTGGATACAACAGGACGTGGGCAAGCAAAATCTAATCAGAATTAAATGAAGAGTCTTCATTTCCAGGAGAGGAAACTTACTGCTCTACAGCAAATTTTATCATATGAAAACAGTGTGCCTTCATCTTTTTGCTGGCATCACCTTCAAGGTTTAATCAATTCCTTGGCAAGGGTGGGAAACCATAAAAATTAGAGCTTCAAGATACCTTAGATCTCACTCAGTCAAATCCCCTCATTTTAGAGTAAATGGATTCAGAGTGGTGAAGCAATTTGCTTAAGGTGCTATGCTCATCTAACAGGATAGCCAACTTCAGAATCCAGGTTTCTACACCAGGCCTAATCTTATTTTCAGATCTTCCCAAGCCTTCATTCTGATGACATATTAGGAAATATTCCTATGAATCTAACTGTATTTACTGTTCACTTAAGTACTATGGTTTTATCCAGTTTCTGGTTGACCTTCAATTGGCAGTGCCTCTTAATCTTTTACCTTCAGTTTTTCTTTATCAAGTAACTGATGATCTACATTCAAATACTTTCCACACCACCATAGGAAGCATCTATTTAAAGGAAGCCAGCCATGATTTAAAGAATCCTTTTGTAATGTTAATAATTATCCCGTTTTCTCTGTTTCATAAGAAATTAGTTTTCTGTTCTCGAAAGTATAAACAGAAGATAGAAAGACAGATAGAGAAAATAAAGAATGATTGTTCTTTTGTATAAGCAAGGGAAAAAAAGATAAGAGGAATGAGGGATGGTGGGTGGTTGGGAAGGGAGTGGCAAAGAACCACAAGCTAAAATAGTCACAAAGTGTTTATATTTTAAAAGTAACTTGAATACTGCAATGTATAAATGGACTCTAAACACCACCTAACCTTCAAGTTATAATTAAAGCAGTGTCCAGTTTTTGACTATGACTTAGAGACATGTGAGGGCCTTGGGAAAAATTCAGAATAATAAAGATAAAAGGGTTTAAAATGAGCCAAGTGAGGAAAAATTAAAACTGCAATTATGTCTAAGACCAGCGGTGACTCAACAGTCCTTAAGGATATGAAGAACCATCCATTTCAGTGAGCAACTGGTCTGCATTTCCACAACAGAAAGTAATTCTACTGAACTTAGTACAGCATATACTTGAACATAGAAGTTTTTCACCTAGGATAGCTCATCAAATAAAAACCCCAGAGTAGCCTGTATGCTGTCTACCTCTCCCACCCTTTACTAGCTCAACTGCTCATCCCAAAGAATGGGTCAAAGGTTTATAAGGTATCTTTGGAATGTGAAGATTTGGACTTTTGAGTCTAGCTACTATGTTAAGTATTTGTTAGTCTGTCTCCCAGGCTCCAGTGTGAGGCTGAACTGCTTCTGTGCTATGAAGAAAGGGAATTCATTAGTAGTAAACATGTAGATGAATGTGTAATGCTTGAATTTCCTATAGAAACATGCTTCTTCTCAGTATTTTTTTTAAAGATTTATTTATTTATTTATACAAGCACTGGGTACAGTCAGAAGCACGGGAGGGTGAGAGAATTCACCAGAGTCAGAGCGGGGAGCAGAACAGGCAGAAGGACTGAAATACACTGCTGAGGGGAGCAGCGGGTGAGACAGGAGAGGTCTGCGCGCCATGTGGGACCCTCCTCTGGTGGCCGGGGAGCAGCCGAGGATCGAACCGGTGCTGCAGAGGCTGCGGGCAGCTTCGCAACCCAGCACTCAACCGCTGCACCACCGGGGAGGCCCTCTTCTCAGTATTGATGGGTCAGAGGGCTTGGACTGAGATTCTTTCTGGACCCAGTGACTGTGCTAAAATGGCCAAGTTAATTCCAAAAAGGGGGAATTTACTGACATGATTTAAAAAAAAAAAAAAGACTGTATTACTAACTAGATTGCCTGGACCTCTTATTTTGTCTCTAGCATTTTCTTATCTTATATAGACAGACATTTCCTAAACTAAAATACAGTCTGTGAAGACAGAGAATGTAATCATTTTATTTGTACCATGACCACCCTACCCCTGGCCCAGCCCAGCCTTAGCATAACACTGAGCAAACAAAAGGCTATCAATTAGTACTTTTTTTTTTTTTTAAAGATCTATTCACCTATGCATATAAGAACTGGGGTACAGGCCAGAGGTTTGGGGGGGGGTGCAGTGAGAGGATTCACCAGAGATGGAGTGGGGAGCAGAACAGGCAGCCTGACTTAAATACACTGTTGAGGAGAGCAGTGGGTGAGCCAGGAGAGGTCTGCTGCACCATGTGGGTAGCTCCCTGGCCAGGGATCGAACTCATGCTGCAGTGGCTGCTAATAGCTTCATAGGTTGCGTCTTGACCTGTTGCACCACCAGGGAGGCCCCGCAATTAGTACTTATTAAAAGAATGCCATCTGTCCAACATTTTGTTAATATTTTATTTTATATCTGCTTTTTGTAGTTAATGTCTTAATTCACTCTAACTCTGCTGCCTCTGCAGGTAACATTACTCTTATCTCACAAAAACATCTACTTTTCCCTATCCCCTCAGATATCTTTATCTAATTCGTAAACTACCAAACCTCTTAACTTCCTCAATTCAGGCCCCTCTCCTCTACTTAGATGTATCATTAAGTCGCCTTAATTCATTTTTTAAACACATCATTTTCTACACCTTCCCATGTTCAACTACATGATTAAAACTAGCTTTGACTTTCCAAACGACAAACCTTTTCCAAAACCCAGTTGTGTAAGATGCCATTTCAGAACACATTTGGTCAGATAATAATATCCACCCATCAAAAGTTATCAGGATACACTCACCTTTCTGCCTGAATCGAATCTATTTGAAATAAAAAAAAAAAATATCAGCTGAGGTAAAAATCCCATGAAACAAAGTGCTTATAGGTGGTGTATGGGTGTGTTGGAGGATGAGCACATGCCCACATGCATTTAAGTACACTAATACATGCATATGTATACACATGTACGCACGCACGCACGCACGCACACACACATCCTCTAAATATATTCTGCCCAAACTATCACAAAACCACAGAGCTTAAAACCAAATTTGCTAAATCTAACACAAACCAAAGGTTCTGAGTCCTAACAGCTACTTCCTGCAAGCAGAGGTATTACCTCTGTGACAGTCAATTTTGAGTTGCAAGAAAGATAGGTAAATGTGACTACAGGCAGCTAGGTTTCTGGCTTTTTTTTTTTTTTAATTTAAATGCAAAACTTATCACCTCAGGACTCTTGACCACATTGCATGATTTCTGCACAGTACCCATCATATTCTAGGCACTAAAAACCAGTAAATTTATAACATAAGCAGAAGAAAAGAGGCTTGCTTCACAGTGGTTTAATATGAACAGAATTGAATATGACATTGTCTGACAGAAGAATGAACAGTTTGCTGAATAAAAGCCCCGAGGCAAGATATATACACAGCAGAAATGTATCCACAGCAGAAATGAGGCCTCAGGCTCTCAGCACTTGTTCACATGAAAAGAATTTTTTAAAAAGTCAGTAACAGGATACAAATCAAAAAGGCAGCAACAACAGCAACACTGGGGAAATAGGGAAGGGAGCAGAGCCTCTCTCTAGGGGCTGCTCAGCCCCTGGCACAGGCGCGACAGCTGAAGAGCTCATCTGTCTCAGGGAAAGTCAACATTTAGATGGACTCCAAAGCCATGTCAAAATCCAATCCTAATATCTCCAATTAGGATCTTGTCAGAATCAGTAATCCTTTCCCAAAAGGCCCTGTATAAAAGAACGCCAATTCTTTCATGTAGGGAGTCTAGGCAAAGAGCTCCCACTTTTGACCTGACACCAGAGTTAACTTGCTCCCATCCCACCACTTGGACCCCCCCGAAACAAACCACTATCTTCCAGGCAGCTGCCCAGGAAATTTGCCAGCCTCAAGAAGCTGCTTCAGACTCAAAAGATTTGAGATATCCATGCCAAGCTGCTATCCTCAGCTCAACTTCTGGAGGGAAAGCTGGAGTTCCATGGAAAACAGTGCAGGCAGTTCAATAACCCTGTGACCAGCCGAGGAGGGCAGCGACAACTCTTGCCCCTAAGCCCCATTCAACAGCTCAAAGTGCTTAGAAGTCAGAGATTGTGTGGTTTGTTCATGTGCTTCTGCCCTGTGGCAGCACTAAATGGGATGGGGGAATGGGAAAATGGAAGGAAGAGTGGTGATGTCCTTCCCTACCATGGTAGGTACCTAAAAAATGAACCACTCCCACTTTTCAGGGAGTTACCTGGCAGTCGTGAGTTACCCCCTCCCCTCAAGCCACCAAACCTGCAAAGCTAACCCATGAAGTAGCAAGGACTTGGGGAGGGAGAACTGCTTACCCACACTGACTCACCAGCTGTAAGCAAGAACGGGCAGCCAGACTGGGGTGCCACAAAGGAGAGGGTCTAGGCAACAGGAGTTCCCCTACTGCCCTATGGCTTTCTTCTGACTCTGAAGCAGCCATGATGATGGGTCTGGAAAACCCACACACCTTGCTCCACACAATAGACTGCTTAGATTCTAGGATTACTGCCATGAAAAGCAACAAGGGAGAGAGAAAGGAAGAAAAGAAACTGTTGAGAAAACTGGGAGCAGGCCTAGAGAAAACAAAGAGTTTTTGGGTTTCTACCACTTTCTCAAAGAAGAAAAAGTTCATGCAGGTGGGAAAGGCAGGGCTTTTCCCTGCTCAGTATTCCTGGTTAAACCTAAGAGTAAGAAAAATTCCCTGGACTTGCAGCATCATTATGTATTCAAGTGCCTCACCAGCACAAGACCCACCCACCGACCAAGGTTAGCCTTCTAGATTGGGTAAATGCCCAAGAAATTGCCTTCCAGTTCAATCCTCCCACCCACCCACCCCAATCCCAAAGGGCATCTGCCTGTGGTTTCCCATCTCTCCTCAGAGAAGAGGATCCTAGCAGAGTGCCCATGGTGCAGTCAGGTACCAAGGAGCACAATACCAGACAGTTTATCAGGCCGGGGGATGGGCAGCCAACTTCAGATCAAAGAGAGAGAGAGGCTTAGTGTAAAAACCAATGTCATTTCAGCAGGAACGCAGAGGTCAAGTGGTGAGAGGCACTCCTACTGGCGCACCTTCCCAGGGACGTAGTTCCTGTCGATTGCCTCCTCCTGCAGGAACATGTGTAGGCAGCGTTCGTTCTGAGCCAGTGGGTGGCCAGCAATTCTATAAAGAGACCAAGATGATTATCAGTATTATTTGGGATCAGAGAGAATTCACAGATGGATGGGGGTGTGAACGGCGGAGGAAGGGCAAGGCCAGTCCTAAGGTTCTAGCAAGTAGAGGACAGCAGCAGGGAACCACTTCAACCTTAATATTGTAGAGGGGGAGGGAGCAGTAAGGTCAGGAAACCCCTAGACACATCCAACGTGCAGCACTTGCTCAGGCCCTGAAGTATAGGATCAGAATTCTGGTCAAAGGAACAGAATTTTACTGTCCAGTCAACCCACTGCGCCACATTACCCTTTATAAAAGAGGATAGAAGAAACATACAGAAAAGACCATGATGGCAAAAGTAGCAAGAGGAGCTCCCAGGAACTTGACTTACTTGTTAATAAACTGTTCGAGGCCCTGCCTCCTTTCTTCAATGAAAGACTCCTCGAAGATCCCTTCATCTCCTCGAAAAGGGAGCTGTCGCTTCAAGGCTTTCCCAGGCAGTGGTGGTACGACAATCTTTTGGAAGAGAACAGAATACCAATCCCATGGGAGAAGCCAGAAAGGAAATGAGATGGTGAAGCACTGTGTACCTCATTTCCTACTAGGTTTAGGGTCCAACCTGTCCCAGAGCCAGCAACATGCACCAGCTGAGACCCACCAGCCGAGACCCGTGAGAACAAGATGGCTTAGAACCAGAGTTGTATTAAAAATTAATACAACTCTTTTGGTGGGAAGACAGGTTTACTATCTCAAAAGAAAGGAAATAAATTCCAAACATTCCTCCCTTTCCTTAACCACCCAACCAAGAATTTAGCTAGGACTTTCCTTAACACTATATTTTCCATTCTTAGCTCCCACAGGCATTAAGTTGATGATTTCACTAGCCACTGAGTATTACTTTTTCTTTGAAATTTGTCTTGAAGTTACTACTTTCAAGTTTCAAAGATCCAATATACAGAAATTTGGTAGATAAAGTATGTTCACCCTCTCCGTTGCTTTCAAGATTTTACAGACGGTGATCTTTCTTATGCCCTCTCAATCTAGAAGAATTTCCTCCTCCAACAGTAACACACAGGGAATGGGGCCATACCTTACTATCACGCTCCAACTCATTTTTTAACCACTCAAAGTCACTGTAGCGCCTTCGTACACAGGACTCCTTCAATTTGAAAATAGGTAGGTTTGTCTATAGGGAAGGAAGAATGAGAGAAGAGAGATGGTAAATAATGTTGGTAATAATGATGGTAATAATGACAGATGGCCACCTGTCATAACCATCTGGACAGGAACCAATGAAGACAGCTCCTATGGATCATGCTCCATAACCCTTTCAAAATACCACTTGGTGAACATCAATCCTTACCACATCCAGGCTTGTCACAGTTCGTGATCAGAAGTCCTTTGCTTATAACTCATCCTGGAATAGACTTGAAGTTATATGTAAATATGTAAAAATAAGGATTTTCACTGCATTTTATTATTTGTAATAATGTGTCCTATGATTGATGGACACATTCTTTAATTGGTTAAATAAATTAAGTTACACCTGTACAGTGGTATACTACACAATTATGAAAAGAATGTAAGAGAGATATATGTGCCAGTTCAGAAAGCTATCAAGCATTAAAATCAAGGTACAGAAATGAATATACAGCTTGCCTCTATTTGTGTTTTAAAAAAAGATAGACACATGTATATATTTATGAATATTTATAAAAAGATACTGGTAACAGTGATAGACTTTGGAGAATAAAGCTATACAGCTGGAATGGGTAGAATCGTCACACTTTTCATTGTACAATTTGAATTATAATGTAAATATATTACATTTTCAACTGAAAAGTGAATTTAGATTCCCTGGAAAGAGTAAGAGATAAATACCTCCAAGTAATGTCTTCCCCTGCTTTTCCTGTCAAAATATTCTCCATTCTACAAGCCCTACTTCATTCAGGAAATCTTTCCTTACACCAGCTTAATTTATTGGCCTCCCTCCCTCTCCTCTGAACTCCTATAACACTTATACTCTAGTAGTATCCCTATTGTTTTATGCCTCATCTTAGTCTTGCTACTACCTAAGTGAACTATAATTTAATTGAAATCAGGAGCCATGACTACTACTCCATCTCCCTAAATGCAGAGTAAGCAAGCTATTTAATAAATTCTCAATTGACTTACTGAGGCCCTATGTATCTGCTTACACCCTCTTTATTGACAGAAAGTGCAGAGGACCTCCCTGGTGGTACAGGGATTAAAGTCTCAGTGCTGTCAAGCTATAGCCAGCCACTGCAGCACGTGTTCAATCTGGGGAGCTGACCCACATGGCGCAGAAGACCTCTCCTGTCTCACCCGCTGCTCCCCTCAGCAGTATAGTTCAGTAGATCCACCTGTTCTGCTCCCCACTCTGTCTCTGGTGAATCCTCTCACCCCCGCTCCCATACTTCTGGCCTAAACCCGTTTTTCTATGCATAAATAAATAAAAATAAATTTTAAAAAATAAGTGCAGCAGAAATAGTGATCACATTAAGTTGGCTTACCATAGATTGCTTCCTGATATGAATCAGTTTACTCCCAAATCATTAAGAATCTCCTCAAGGCTCTACTACCAACATGGACTCCCTGGACAAAAAAGCCCCAATCTCTACTCCTGTCTACAAGTTCTACATAGAAATGGCCGGCCACATGTATTAATACTGACTGTATTTCCTGCAAGCCAATTCAGATAAGCACCTGGAAATAAAAGAAACTAGTTTTGCTCTATTGTGTAAAACTGACTCAGAAAGAGAAAAGAGCTGGTTGGAGCTATGCTAGAGCTTCACACAATCCCCACTACATCATGCTTTGTGGTTCTCTAGTCTGGAAATTGTTCAAGGTCCAATTTTAGATATAGGTCATCAAAAGCCAAATAATTGGTCAAATTACATTAGTTACAACTCTACCCAGGATTACTGCCATCCAAGGAATGTCAATGTGGAGTCAGACATATGTAAAGTAAAACTGCCCAAACTAGTCTTTAGAAGAATAATAAACTAGAAACAGCTGCTTCTTTAGAAAGGTGAACCTCTAGAGGACAAAGGGAAGGGGGTTGGTTTTACAGTGTATCATTTGAATTTTGTACCATGTACATGCATTAACTATCCAAAATAAACCCTTACAGAGAACATTCTCAGAATTTGGCAAGAAATATATACTTGTGTCAAATCATTACACTGTATGCCTTAAACTTACATTATATTAAATGTCAACTATATCTCAATAAAGTTGGGGGGTGTAACAATAATGCAAGAAAGAAAAAAGTCCTTCAGTATCATGTCATTCTAGGTTTACACCAGAGTTTATTATAAACGCTATTGTATTTACATAGTTGGTTTTTACAGAAGCCAACCTACTAAGTAGGTTCTTCCCAGACACAGTTGAACCATGCTGCCATTTTGTGGACTTTCTTCTTTGATTCACAAAAATGCTATTCTTTCCCTACCCCCACAGGATAGTGACAATAATGGCCTTTCTTCTCAGCACCTAGCCATCGAAGGAAAGGGCTACTATGTATTAGGGTAGTCTCCCAGCTCCAACCTACAAATCATATGAGGAAGTCAGGATTGTGTAGAATAGGATATAGACAGCCCTTTGGCTCTGATCAACACAAAGTCAAGGGAAAGGAGAGGAAGAAGCAAAGTTCAAGCTCACAGGACAACTGACATTTGTTCCATACTCATCATGTGAAGTCACCATGACACCTCTCCAGACTCATTTCTTGAGGGTGGTGGGAGAGGAGGAATTCTTTCCTGAGCGAATATGAAAGAGAACAGCTTCAGAAATATTTAAAGAGAAACAAAAGAACAAAAAAGAGAGAAATATTTGCTATTATACAAAAAGTCAGTGTCATCTGCTTCTACTGTACAGAATGCCTAACTCCCAAAGCCCATTCTGTCTCATGCTCCCAATAATGCCAACCATGATCTATTACTTAAAAGCAGCTATGTACAACCAAATATGATTTTACCAACTTTTCCCAAAACAGAGTTCAATAAATGCCTATATAGTCATACATATCAACATATATACAAATTAAATCAAGCCCACAGAAATAGGAATTGCCATCAAATGTAGGAACTGTATCACTATACAATTAGAAATTGCAGAAAGGACTAATAAAAAGCTTAGAAGGTAGAAAAAAAAAATGTATACTAAAGTTATGCAACTAAGCAATGACCAAAGAGACTAAAGTGTAAAGCAAAGAGCATGATGAGCTTTGGCATTAGACAGAGCTGAGTGCAAAGCCTAGCTCTGCCACTTGTAAGATATGTATACATGGGCAAGTTACCTAAATTGCAGTTCTCCTCAATTTCCTATCTGTAAAATGGGGTTTTGTCAAGGATTTAGAAACTAAAACTTAATTCAATACCTGGCACATTGTAGGCCCTAGAAGAACAGCCCCTGTTCTTATTAGAATGCCTGAAGTAGAGAACTAATTCACTCACCATCCCTAAGGCTCTTGGGTAATGCATGAGACAATGTCTCCCAGCACCCCGTTAGCCAGAGTCCTTATAATGAGCAAGTTATGCCCAGGCTTCCTCAGATAATTGAGTTCTCTCTAGCACTAATAACTTCCAGATATTATCATATTTTGAGGGATCCACTCTCCTTTCTTCCCCAAAGAAATGATTTCAAGTTGTTCTTATATAGACAAGTTTTTCTTGTTTCTTGTTATTCACTTTTCTTTCTTTAGTTTGAACTTTGACAAACATGAAATTTGGGATCATCATTTCTCCATTGGATGTGAAAGCCAAAGTAGGAAAACACTCATTTCATTCATTCGTTCATTCATTTGTTCATGAATGGAAGCTCATACACTCTTTCAGGTCTTCAAATACTGTTTGTGCAGCATGCTGTCACAAAGAATATTCAAGTCCTCTAGTCTGAGAAGAAAATATTAGAAAATGGCTCTAAAATTTTTTGTTTATAACCATGTCAACTGGCAAAAGAACCTACCAACCAAGTATCCTATCTGCACATCCCATCTTTGCACTGTGTACTAAGAACTAGAGAACAAAGTCCTCGGTAGTGCACAATGGAAGAAGTCATTTGTGAAATGTCATCTATTCAAGTAACTACAGAACAGGGTCTGGATTCAAAAGGTTAATCTAGGGCTTAAAGACAGTACTTTACATTACACTACAGAAAATCAAGATGAGAGCCAGTAAATATTGAAGTGAACATTCTGGATACTTCAAATTCAAAGAATCAGCACAGGAAGAGAGCAGGGACTGACAATCCACCATTCCTGGTGCAAGCCAGGCCAGCTTCCACTGGGAGCCAGAGCATGTGGTATCTGAGAAAACTTAAGCACTTAACACTTCGGCTCTCCCTCAGATGCTAATTCGACACAAGTCTGGGAAGCACTCCCTCTCAAGGAGACTCCTTTATTTCTGCTTCACCAAGTCAAGGTCTTCCTTTCCTGATGTCTACCTTCCTTTTAATCCAGGCTTTGCTTAAATTAACTCCATCCCAGGGAGACCTGCTGAGGAAGATGCCCGGCCTCCCTGCCCTCAGTCTTCCGAATGACTTCCCACAACCTAGTTTGGTTATGGGACCCAGCGCCATACCGCCCAGGTTTTCCATCCCCCCGCCCTCTGAAACCCTCCCTCCCCTCCTTCGGTCGCTCCAGTCGTGATGATTCCTATACCTCACTCTAAGCTTCTCCATCCTCCCCACCCTAGTCAGCCACGCCTCACTTCTTGCTCATGGGTACTTGTTTTCCCATCCCCCGGTCCGACGTGCCCCTCAGGAGTTCTCGGTACCTTCGGGCCACAACCGAGTCTGCTGACCTCTCTCCAAATCTATTATGCCCCTAACCTCCAAATGACCCTTCCGGGAGTCTGCTCTGTCGTCCCCATGGCAGCCACCCGCCCCCCTCCCCGCCTCCCCGCCCAGCCGCCCAGTCCTCCCTCAGCGGTCCCCCTCACCCCGTGACTCACCCGCATGCGAACCTCATAGGTGGTGAAGCGCGCGCGGCCCACGCCCACCGTCTGTGGATTAAAGATGTCGATCTCCAGGAAGTTACTTGGTGGCCCGTAAGCGTCGGTCAGGTCCTGCGGCTTCGAGTTAAGACGCCGAGTGTCAGCTACGGCCGTGTCCGACATCTTTCCGAAGGAAAGAACCGGACCAGGGAAGGGGGTGGGGACAGAGACCGGAGGCAGGAGCGCGCACGGCCCCTCCCGCTTGCAAAATAACCAGCCAGGCCACTGATGGAGGCGCTGCGCACGCGCGCCCACGCACGCACGCTCGCGCACGTCGCCGCCCCGGGCCCCGCGCCCTGAATAGCGGCGCAGCGGACATGGAGCGTTCAGTAGCTAGGTGGAGTCATTCAGGCTTCGGGGCGTAGTTTGTGGCCGCCCCGGAACCTGCATGCCCCGGACGCTCCACCCTATATCCTGGGAAGCATTTACGGGCCGGCTCCGCCCATCGCCCCTTCTCAACCCCAGAAATTGGCTTATACCGCGTTTCAGTCAACGTTGGGCACCGCCAGCTAGGATCCTTCGGTGATAGGCCGAAGCCGGGTGACCTGAATAAGCCAGGGTTTTACGCGAAAACCCTGGGCCTTCTCCAGAGGGTGGGGTTCCCACAATAGTACCAAGAACCTAGCACGCAGCCCTGCCGCTTGTGCCACTGATAGTTTCAATTCATTCCACACGCAGCTGACCACTCAGGATTATGGTGCTGGGAAAGCAGCGACGGTGGGGGTAAACAAAGATGATTTCTTATCCTCCCTTTTCAGGAAAATTGGGGCATACCTTCATCCTCCACTGTTGCCACATGAACACTAACTCCAGATGGACTCATATTATTTCTCCACAAATTGACAGCCTTTGTTTCATACCTTCTATCTCTACTCTGCAGAATTCCATACTTGGCCTTGCTCTGAGGTTTGCTTGCAGCCCATAATGGAAATAGAATGCATATCTACATGAGAAAATCTATAGAAATAGTAATATTCATACGGCTGATGGGCAAATAACCCACATAAAGGGGGACAGCCCACCACATTCATTGTAGTGCTATTAGAAGAGGTTGCACCTGCCCTCTTCTGCTCAAAAACAGTTTCCATATCACTGATGCCTGACATTCTTTCAAAAGTGTATAAGACCCTATAATTTCACAATTAAGTTATTTAATCCAATTTAATTCACAGCTACTAATCAACTACTTATGTGCCAGAAGCCATGCTAAATTAAACACTGAAGACTTAGAGCTAAATGAGAGAGTCCCTGACCTCAAGGAGCTAACGTTCTAGAGAGGGAGACAAGTAAATACAACTAACATAATGTGACAAATACAAAATAATCAAATGTTCAAAGTAGCACATATGACATAAATAATTGGTGGAATTAGCGAAGATTTCCAGGAGGAGAGAGCTGAGTTTGACAGACATGAAACAAGAGGAGTGGGAAAAGGTAATTTCTTACAGAGGGAGTAGCATCTGCAAAGTCATCCAGATAAGAACTAGCCTGGTATTTTTAAGTAATTATCAACAATTCTGATTGTGTAATACAAGTGCTTAGAGAAGTAGACTAGTTAGGAATGGTCAGGTGAGGATCTCTGGCTTTATGGTGTAGGTGACAGGAAGCCACTGAAGGATCTTCAGGAAAAAGACATAATCAGATTTGTGCTCTAGAAGAATTATTTTGCAGACCACATAAACGAAGTATTTGAGTTGACTAAGACTAATTGTGAGAGTATCGACAAGACTTGTAATCAGGTAGTGATGACAGGAAAGGAGAAAGGGGAAGGGAGGACCGAGTTGGAGGTAATAAAATAGGTAGGACTTGTATCTGATTAGATATGATGGAATATAGTGTAGGACTTAAGCATGTGAGCCAGGGGTTTAGGTTTTAATCCCTGCTTTCTAACTGCATAACCTCGAACAGTTTAGCCAGATTTTTTCCTCATCTGTAAAACAGAAGTGATAAGACTTAAAGCTACCTCCAGGGCTTTTATGAGAATTCAATGAAATAAAATATGTGCAAAATAGTAAGCATTTAAATAAATCGGGGAGGGGGGGTTTCTGTAGGAAATTCAGGTAGAGATGTCCAGCAGACAGCTAGAAATATTGGCCTGGAGCTTGAGCATATGATCAGGGTTAGAGATAGAGAATGGAAGTCATCAGCATACAGTATAAAAACAAAATGTGAAGAGGCAAGGACAGAAGTATTAAAAATTGGTGAGAGGGCCTCCCCGATGGCACAGTGGTTGAGCACTGGGTTGCGAAGCTGCCCGCAGCCTCTGCAGTGCCGGTTCGATCCCTGGCCACCGGGCGAGGGTCCCACATGGTGCGCAGACCTCTCCTGTCATGCCCGCTGCTCCCCTCAGCAGTGTACTTCCTTGTTCTGTTCCCCGCTCTGGCGCTGGTGAAATCTCTCACCCTCCCGCACTTCTGACTATACCCAGTGCTTGTATAAATAAATAAATCTTAAAAAAAATTGGTGAGAGCACAAAGTGTTGAGGAAAGTGTAAATCCATACAGTATTTCTGGGAGACAAATTGGCAGTATGTATAAAAAAAAAAAAAAACTTGACATCTAGAAACTTGTAATACTGGTTGTCTCTGGATAGCAGAACTGGAGAACAGGAGTCAGCGATAGCAGAGAGAGTTGTTTTTCATTTTCATTTCATTTATGTTTAATGACTTTTTGAATGTAATTTTTTTTATTTTTATTTTAATTTTGGGGGTTATATTTTTGCTCCTCCTTCACTCACCTTCCACCAAAGTTCCATTGCCAATGTCATATTCCATTCCTCCCCATCCCTTCCTCACTCACCCTCCCATTCCCTCTGGCAATCAGTGTATTTTTCACAGAGTCTAAGATATTTTTGCTGTACTTTGCCAGTTTTTTTGGTTTTGGCATTTATAGTCTGAAAATGAGTGAAACCATCTTTCACTTTGTGACTTATTTCACTTAACATAATCACCTCATGATCCACCCACTTTATGCCAAAAGACACGGTTTCCTCTTTTTTTTTTGATAGCTCAATAGTATTTCACTGAGTCTATATTCCACAATTTCTTTATCCAGTCATTTGTCAATAGGCATATATGTTTTTTCCATGATTTTGTAGCCATATTTTCCTAACTTATGGATTTGTTTATATGACGAGTCTTACAAAGGGTTAGTGGGTTCTATATTTTACACTTTGTACCTCAGTCACTTTCATTATAAAATTCAAAATAAAATTCAATGTTGGGGCCTCCCTGGTGGCGTAAGGGGTTAAGTCTCAGCACTATCAAGCTTTTGGCAGCCACTGCAGCACAAGTTTGATCCCCAACCAGGGAGCTAACCCACATGGCACAGCAGACCTCTCCTGTCTCACCCACTGCTCCCCTCAGCAGTGTATTTCAGTAGATCTGCCTGTTCTGCTCCCCACTCTGTTTCTGGCGAATCCTCTCACCACCACCCCCACCTCTGGCCTACACCCCAGCTCTTTTATGCATAAATAAATAAAATTTTAACAAAATAAAATTCAGGCCTCCCTTAGTGGTACAGCGGGTTGAGCACAGCGCTGTGAAGCTGTCCGCAGGCTCCACAGCACAGTTTCGATTCTCGGCTGGCCAGGGAGATACCCACATGGCGTGGCAGACCTCTCCTGTCTTGCCCGCTGCTCCCCTCAGCAGTGTTTTTGGTCCATCTGCCTGTTCTGCTCCCCTCTCTGTCACTGATGAATTCTGTCACCCCCCACATCTCTGGCCTGTACCCCAGTTCTTGTATAAATAAATAAATCTTAAAAAAAAATAAAATTCAATGTCATGTGTAAATTTGTGTAAATGGCCAAAATTCAAGGTTCTCCTAAGTAACCATTTTAAATAATGATCTATACTAGTTGATATGGAATGATGACCACAAAAAAAGTGAAAAAAGCTGGTAAAAATATTGTCATATGATGCCATTTGTATTCTTGTATATGATATAAATAATTTTTAAAGACTAAAAAGATATAAATAAGTGCTAGCAATGGTTACCTATGTGTTGGAGTCTATGTTTTTATTTATGATTTTTTAAAGGTTTTGATGTTTAAACAATGAACATATGCTTCTTTTTTCATCAGGAAAAATAAAACTACTTCCACTTAGAGAAGAAAACACCCAAAGGGCAGGCACAAGAAAAGAAGCTTGTGGCCTGAGAAGTAGGAGTGATCTGAAAGGGAGATAAAATATGTTTCCAAAAGGAGCAGGTAAGTGCTTAATAGTTTTTAATACAGTAGAATGGTCAAATAAGATAAAGTCTGAGAGGTGGCCACTAAATCTGACAATTACCTAAAAGAGAGTAGTTTCGGTAGAGCACTGGAGGTAGGACCCAGACTGCAGTGGATTGAAAACTGAATCAGAAGTGGGGAAGAAGAAATATTCAATAGAAATTATTCTCATGAGAAGCTTGCCTAGGATGGGAGCGCACTACCTAGCGGGCAATGTGTTGTCAAAGAAGGGCTTGTTTGTTCATTTTTTAAAAAAAGTCAATTGGAATATATTTTTTCCAAATTATGTTTATTGAGCTAAACTAGGTATGTATCTTTGTATCTGCTCTGAGGGTTATAGATTCAAACCTCTACAAATGCATACTTTCACACCCTGCCCACCACCAGTGCCCCCACAATCCTCCACCATGTTCCCTTGGATCTCTTCCCTCTCCCACTCCTACCCCACCACTATCACCCTCTGGTTGCCTCAGTTTTACAGTTAGAGAGTTTACTACTGGTTGGGTTTTGACTGACCCTTTGTTGTGTTGCTCTGTATTCTATATAGAAGTGAGACCAGTCAGTATTTGTTTTTCTTCTTCTGACTTATTTCTCTTGGCATTATCCTCTCCAGTTCCATGAGACTTGAATCTATTTAACAGCTTGGATGTAGGGAAGGATTTTATAGAAATTGAGTAGTTGAATATACAGGCAAGTAAAGGCATAAATAAGACTTAAAAATCAAATAGCCCTAGGAAAATTGTGCAGGTTCAGTACACAATGTAGGGTAATATATGGTCCTTTTTATTATTAAGAGAAAGATTTGATAGGATGGAAAGCAGAAAGTAAAGGGTACTGAACTAATTGAATCTTTTGCAGGAGGGCTAAGTCAAGAGACACTCAAGCAGGGACCATGGCAGATGATGACTTGTAGTGGGCTGATGGGTGCATTGTCAAGATGGAGGTGGACTACAGCACCATAGTGGACCAGCATCTGCCAAAGTGTAAGAAGCTAGCCAAAGAAG